ACGACATCAGACCAGTGATGCAAGAGCAAAAAGGTTGGTAAGGACTTTTATATGCTGACGTCGATATGCCCTACAAAGCAATGTGCCTCTAATCTCTAACTATCCATTATCATCCGAAGCAGCGGATCACTTCGCGAGCCACCGATGTACCAGCCCGGCAGCAGCAAAAGGTCGTCGCAGTTGACAGGTCCAACAGAAAGTTGTATCGGCCCACCCCGTCTCCTTTCCACGGATGCACTCATTCTACTTACTGGCTGTCAGTCTTTGTAAGCTTCTAATATACAAGGGGAGGTCCTCAACATGAACTCGGGGCAAACATTTGCATTTCAACTGCAAGAGCTTTTTCCCCTTCTGACCTGTAACGAGATACTTGAGACGTGTCTAATCATCATTGCAGGCGCTCGTACTTTTCTAACAGGTCCGGGGAAAAAACATAAGCTCTTATATGATATGGTGGACTCGAGGAAAACTTTCAGTACGCATGTTATCGCCAGGAGGTTCTTAGGGAGTGCTGTGTCATTGTTTCGCAGAGCCGTCTCCTCGATATGTTGTCCACCATTAATGCACTGTAGATTGATGCATTGCCAACAAGTTCCCCGTTGAAAGCCTTATCTCAAATGCATGGTTGCTAGTGTATCTTCTCGGGGGAATTTGGCATGTGCTAATTGTCCAACAAAGAATGGGGGAACATCGTCGTCCGATATCATACACTTTATGGCTTTAGCCTTACGATGTTCGCTATTCTTTCTCACCCCCCGTGTCCGTCAACACGACGGGTGGGCATGATGCCCGGGGGCGCTGACCCGTCCCCATGCCCGGGAGAGAGAGAGAGAGAGAGAGAGAGAGAGAGAGAGAGAGAGAGAGAGAGAACCCGCCGACAGCCACCCCGAGCAAGTGTCGGCCACGGCAGAGCATCCACCATGCACCACCACACCATGTGGTCCCGCAGCGCGCAACAGAGAGCAAGCACCACCCACAGCGCCAATCGACCACCCAACAGCCCCGCCGCAACAACCCAACACAGCAGAGCAACCCACGGCAGCAGAAGCGACACCACCAGCAGAAGCAGACCCAATACCGCCGCTGGAAGAAGTCGATCCTCCACGCGACACATACCACCAGCAGCAGCGGTCCCGAGAAGGGGCAGGCGAGAAGAGGCGCACCAACCGCGCCACCAAGCGCGCTGTCAAAGTCCAGTTGCAACGTCTGGGCCTGTGGCCTCGAGGAGGCACGGGGCGTGGAGCAGCCTTCCGACCAGACCTTGCCCCACCAGACAAGCAAACTGCAAAACCACAGATCTCAGCGGAGGAAAGAGCATACCTGACCAGCTTACTCAACAAACACCTCGAGCCCAGGCAAACACCAACAGCACAGCCCAACAGCCGGCCACCACCACAGCAAACCACAAGACCGCCACCCAGACAAAGCAGCCGCCGGCGCAGCCGCCCTCAGGTAAGCCAGTCACCAACATAGGGGCGGGGCAGCCCCATCCACCACCACAACAGGTGAGACCACCACCACAGACCCCAGATGACTCACCACCGCCATGGGACATGCCCCCGGCCACACCACAACAACCCACTGAGCGAGCCAGCAGCTCCACAGACAGGCCCAGTCACCATCCACTACCACGACCACCTCCACCACATGCCAGGGGAGAGACCCCTTCCATCAACCACCCCAGAGGCGGGGACCCCCCAGAACCCCCCATGGTGGCTGGTCCAGATCGAGAACCACCCACGGCGTAAACCAGAACATGAGCTGGAAGCACTGCGAGTGGAGGCCGAACCACTCAGAACCATACCGGGGATCATCGCAGCACATGCCCCGCCCATTTCCGTGGGCACCAACCACCTTGAGCCTCACTAGGCCAGACCCACACATGTACGTAGCCGAAGTCATATCGGCACCAGAACCGGGGCATTACGAATTCAACGCGGCCATCCTGTGCCCTGGTGACGTGCTTACCTTCTCCTGGGTGAATGGCGAGTGGACCGTCGATGTACACCTGAATGAAGAGGCGGCGTGTGAAGAAACGTCGGGTACCAGCGCCACAACCGCAGCGGAGACGTGCCAAGCCAGCCCCAGCAGCGGGGCGGCGACCTCACCCAGAGAGCCTACACAAGGCGAGACTAACGCAGGCCCCCCGGAGGCTCCCACGCAGGCAGCTGAAGAAACACCCCTAACAGCACACATAGACCCAGCAACCTCCTCCACTGACACGCCTGCCGACGCCGCAGCTGCCGCCACAGCGAGCCAAGCGCACCAAGCCGCCACCCCGCCACACCCCCTGAGCGAAGGCCGCACCCTCAGAAGGAGCCAGGCTGCAGAGGACCGTCCGACAAACCAGCCGGCCACCTCGAGCACCACACCAACCCAACATCCACCTTTGGTTCCTACAACAGCCCGGGGCCAGATAACTGAAAGCACAGGAGCAACAGACTCCGGGGCGAAGGTCCCAGTTTGCTGAAGCCTCCAGGTCACTTACCACAACCTTGACTTAGTTAGTAAGACTTGTCGAAGCCTGGAGACCTGAAGAGGGGTGCCCAACCGCGGAGTCAGGCATTGCCCGACATGTCGACAATATTGGTTATGCACACCTGACACCACGGGGCGGAATACCTGCTGAAGCACCCCCAGAGTTGCCGACACATGCACCAACATGTTTTGTGTTTCATTTGTTAGCAGTGTTGTCAGCAGTGGTCGGTAACCGTAGCCCAGTGCACGTAATACCGAGCGTGCCACCAACAAGGGGCAGCCCTCCGGGCGGGGGCGCGCCCTCAAGCCTTGTGAAAGAAAGACTTGCAGCCGTGGCTCAAGCCCAGAGCAACGACGACGATGAGCACCTCGTGCGAGACAGGCGGGCACAGGGGGAGCCCAGAGTTCGGGGAGAAGTGGCAGCGCGACACGCAGCCAGCGCGGGGGAGCATATCCAAGAAGCCATGAGACTGGTCCGCAGTGTGGAACTCTACGGGGTGGAAGCCCACCTCGCAGCTGCAGCCACCAGCCTGAGCCTCGCAGCCGACGGGGAGATGGGCCGAAGGGGGCGAACGCCCCCACCAACGCCCAACGCCTTCGAGATCGCAGCGTTGGTAGTTGGTGGTCGGCATCCTAGATGACCGAGCACAAGCAGGCGATCCACCTACGCAGGGGGAGCTAGCTGAAGTGTTGGAGCTCGCCTTAAGCGGCCAAGCGCTGCTATGGGGGGGAGTTCGCTCCTCCAACTGGCAAGCCACACATGTGGCCACAGATGCAGCGGAGGAGGCGGAGGTGTGCCTCCAAATGCTCATCGATGGGTACCCACTGAGGCAAGAGAACCTCGGCAAGCTGCGAAACCTGCTTCAAGAGGCAGCTGAAGGAGTGGGGGCGCTCGTGGGCATTTATCCCCACACGCCACAACACGAGACCATGGCAGTGTACCCAGCAGACATCATCGGGATCGACGCAGGGGGGACGGAGGCAAGACAGAGACGGGGAGAAGACCCGCCGGACGCCGCCATGGTGTTCAGAGCAAAACGCAGGCTACGTGACCTCCTGCCCTTCCTTGTCGGGGACGTACTGAGTGAAGCCCGAGCTGCACTGCAAGAGCTCGACGCCTGGACAGCAGCGTACATGGGGGGCAATGAAGTGGTTGAAATAGTGGAAGAGGGGGAGCCGGCTGCCAGTTCCTCGCGACCTACAGCAACCGCGGACGCCGGCCGGGGGAGAGCCTCAACTGACGCGCCGAGCCCAAGGTCTACTGAACCGCGCCGGCGCTTCAGCAACCCCAGCTCACTTGACCAAGACGACTAAGGGGGTTGTTGCGCTTCGTTCGGGGTCTTGTGCTGTCAAGTGAGCCGGGGAGAGTGTTTCAGCAGAGTCCGTGGCAGTGCAACAAACCATGGGGGAGCATACTCTTTCAACAAGGCCGCGTAAGCCCTTCTGCACATGCTCCCCCAGCCGTAGCATGCACAGCCTCGGGGCCCACAGTAAACAAAACTAGTCGTGTGGTAGGCTGTCGTTTTGTTGCGTATGAGGCCGCGGAGTGGACCCCAACAAGTCTCACACAGCATAGGGGGACAAGCTCGAAAGAGGCCGAGACAACAACATCACGGTGCTTGTAGTAGGGTTTGATGTTTTTCCAAAAAGGCCCGAGCCGAGACCCCAGTAGCAAGACGATAAGACAAGTTGCAGCGGGGGCAAGTCACTCGTAGTACCGGGTATACACGTCAGTAACAGGCTGTGTTGTGGGGGCAAGCTGCAATGATGTCTAGCCTCTCGCCCCGACCGAAATGCAGTGCGTAGGGAGCCTCGGAGTAAATCATCGGTGTTGTGGTGTTTCAAGAGTTCATGTTGTGTTGTGGCAAAGGGGGCTCCAGTGCAACTGCATGGGCGTGCTTCGAAGTTTTTGCACTGCACACCTCCGGCGGGATGCCATAGGGGCGCGGAGATGAGGCAGGTTGGGGGTGTTTTAGTGTTCGGGGAGGGGGTGTGCAGCTTGGAAGTTCGGAGCAATGTGGGTAGCAAAGTACAGCGGTCAGTGAAACCCCAAAGCCGTCCACTCAATAAAACAGGAGGTGGACGGGCGGGCTGAAAGCCTGAGGGTCACAACAGTGACCCCTAAGCCCGGCAGAAAGAAAGAAAGAGAGAGACAGACTTTGCTCTCTTTCCCCCTTCACCCTAGCCCTGTGGCGAAAGAAAGAAAAGACTTTGCTCTTCGAAACGCTTGAGGGTAGTAGGGGTCTAGCGTGCTAGACCTGGACCCAGAGCAAGCAAGAGAGACAGAGAGAGAGAGAGAGATGCATTCGCACGCTGCGCGTACAAGCATCCACACGCGCAGACACACAGACACACACACACACACAGACAGACACACACAGACACACCCAAACACACCCAATCACACACACACAGACACACACACAGACACACACACACACACACACACACACACACACACACACACGCATACAAGTTCCCGCGGAATTCGTCGACCCCTTTGCCCCTCTGTCACCCGCCAGGTCCAGGAGCTTGGGAAGGTGGTTTCAGAAGGTGGTTGCACTCCGGAGTGGCAAAGCTGGGCAGGCTTGTGACTTGACAGAGTTATCAGATGCCACGTTCCATTGCGCTACCGGCCACTGGTATTCTGCCATCAGTTACTTGTATCTGCAAAGCAAGATGAGAATCGATTTCACACGCCTCTCGCGCAACTAGCCCGGGTTCATCTCCACACTCTCCAAAAGAACAAGACAGGCGAAAGTGCTGAGAATAATTTGATCCGCCGGTAAGGAACCTGGACCAAGCGCTGCACAGGCGGCGGTTCGATCTGCTGCCGCATCTGCTTGGAGCTGGTCTTTGGGCGTTGCTGTGTACTTGATGCTCTTTCCCAGGCGCCTCCGCTGCTGGGTGGGCACGCTGGCAGAAGCCTGGCTGCGCCGGAAGCTGCTGGAAGGCCAGGCGCAGAGGACAGAGACGGCCTTGAAGTATGCCGCTGTTTCAGGCTCGCCTTCGGCTTCGGCGGAGTCTTCGCCTGCCTGGGCCTGCGATGCCGTCGGTTGGCTGCTGCGGGAGGCGGCGAAGTCGGGGCCGCCGCTCAGCGGTTGAATCCGGAGCCTCGGCAGGTCTCCCTTCATCAGAAGGCCGAAAGCTTGCTACAAGTGCCTTGGCCTTCCTTAAAACGCCTCCAGGAACGAAGGGGGGATCAGCTGTCAGCTGTCTCTCTGCCATGTGATGAAATCAGGACGGCTTGCAACTGGCCTTGAACGGCGACGCAAGCGACTTTGCAAGATTGGCACCGCACAGACTGCCCGCTCGGTGTTGCCCTGTTTTCAAAAGGCGCACTGCTGAGCAGTCCCGGCACTGGCCCCGGCCGCCGTTGCACGGAGCTTCGGCAGTGACTCGACCCGCAGGGGATGGAGTATGATGGAGTCGAGTCTAGCTTGCTTAGCCACATGCCGTTCATGATTGCGTTGGATTCTGCCTGCACTATTATCTGTATCTCAAGGCTTTCGCTATGCAAGACTCATGTTACAGTCATGGAGCCCGATCTCGTGTGCAGCGAAATTGAAGTCAGGTAAGGCCAGGTAGGACATCGGCGTCTCGAGCTTCGTACAGAAGTTTTAAAAAAGCACTTCCCGTCACCCGCACAAGGTCATACGATGATACCAGGAGGGCACACGAGCAGATGGGTACCCTCGAAGCTTGGCCACAACGGGTTTGGGATCTCTCACAGCTTTGTTTGCTAAGTTTTGCTGAAAACCCAGATGGTGTCAGGACCATCACTTCGGTCATGACTGGATGGACAGAGCAAACGTAAACAGGCTGTGCGTGAATCCGAGACCCAGCTCCCCGAGGAAACAGCCACTGGCATCCAACTCCTCGAGTCTATCGGCGTCCGCGGCTAAGGGAGCGCAAGTCAACACTGTGCCTGCAAGCTAGAGGTGTGCATGTAAGTCTTGTGACTCAGTGTGACTTGCGTTTCTGAGAACATGTTTTGAAAGTCAGACAGACTTTTGGCACCGGTCTTCAGGCAGTGCGATGGAGTGCCGGCGATGCCACAGGACCTTCATCTTGGACTGCGAACCCGCAACAACTGGTTCAGCCAGTAGATGAGTATATCATATCGGGTTGCTTCGGATGTGCACAAGAATCAGGGTCTCGTGTGCAGACATCTCCATCACTGCCTGTTCAGTGTGCCGGGCTGGCTAATCTCGCAATTTCTCTATCTCCTTCCAAAATCCAAGCTCTATTGCCTCCAAGCATACAAGTCAGCTAGGCTAGGGCAGTGTTCCAGTCTGCCGCGGCTTTTCAATCGCTTGCCGCTTGTTTGTTGTCCCTGCGCATAATACACTGTCAGATAGACACATGTCGACACAAACACTTGAGTCTGTGAGGGTCCCAGTCCCGGCTCACATTCAAAATGCAGATTCCAGGAGCTGCAGATGCGCTGCAGGAAGCGCGTCTTGGACATCAAACTCAAGTTGCTTCGGTTTTTGAGGTGCCGTAAACCAGACGCTTGATTCGCTTAATGCACCTCAAGACTTGATGTCGGCATGTCATGGGTGTCATCGATTGCAAGCCGAACCGGTTCCGGCGGAGATCTGACATGTTCAGCGACACTTGGGTCGAGGTTGGCAGCGCCACACATGACAGTAGTTCCAGCAACATTTAGAGGTCTCCCTGTCAGTTTCGTTTTGCAGTGCAGAGCCAGAAGGCAAGGAAGGACTCGGCCGGGGTCAAGGGTGATTCCGTACTCAGGCTACGCATTCGCCGCGTTAACCGAAGCATCGAGAGTGCGGAAGGAGCAGCTTGGCGTGCAGAATCGACGGTTAGGGCCCTCCGGAACTGGACGTGCAAACTGGTAAGTGTACCAAAAGTTTGTCTCGAGCCTGGTAGTTAATCGTAGAGCTTAACGAAGCTTGCATGTTCATTCTTCTTGCCGTCGTTTTCTCAGAGGCAGGATTGGAAGTGCTGGCAATAAACCTCTCTGGGTTCGTATTGACTGGCATCAGGTGATGGAATATTGGGTGAGGGTTCCTCGCTCGCGTGTCTTGCTTGCTCAGGCCATGTTACTTCGCAACTTGGGCTTCGGCCTTGGACACTGAGCAGAGAGTCTTTGCAGTTCATACGTCTGGCTCATCGCGCAGGCATCATCCTTCGGATGCGTGGGGACCTGGATGCCGGACTCGAGGCCTTGGCCGAGGCGCTGTCCGGAAATGCTGCGAGCGTGCTCTGAATTTCGGAATCTCAGCCGGTGGTGCTTTTACAGGCGAAGCGCATTCGAGAATGCCTGCGCCTCAGGAATGCGCAGAGGCTGCTGGCAGCACACTCACAATGTCGTAATGCTGCATCTGCGGCTTCAGCCAATGTCAGCATTCAATCGCCGCGTGTGAAAAGGCACTGGCAGCTTGTTCGGGGCTGATGGTGTCGTGCTACTGCCGCGACCCTGTTGGACTTAAGATCGCAGAGCCGCCTGAGCTGTAAAACACTGATGTGCGAAAGCGAGAATGTTTGCTCAAATTGGCAGGCTGAACTTGGCCTTTGCCAGAGCTGACCGTGGCGACCACAAAAGTGCTTTGGAGGCACCAGTGGAAAGTTCCTTAACCTACTCCTGCAGCATGGGACTTCTGGCTTGTGCTTGGTTTGGCGCCTGGCGCACTTCGCCTTCCGTGCAGGCCTTCGAGGAAGCCACCACACTGTTGGGCGCTGGCTCTGCGAACCACCCAGCGACTGCATGGTCAGTCCGTCTCGTCCGTCCATTCCAGTGTGCTGTATAGGTTAGCCCATTCAATTCTTTTCGCCAGGGCCTAGAGCCTTTAATCCCTAGATCCCAGTGATGAGCCACAACAGCGACGACATGGCCATGGAAATCTCAAGCCTACTACATTTTGGAACGCTGGACTTTCACAGGCATTCCGACACGGCATCCCATTCTGGCGCACCTCTCCCGGATTTGTCCGAAAAGTGAGTCCACAGTATGTCGAGGCATGCTCCTGCGAAAGCCATGAGGATGAGGCACGACCTGCAACTTGTAGCTGATCGTGGGGTTTCTGGAGAGGTAGTGTTGTCTGCATGGAATGGACTTGCATTTACCGTTGCATGTGCAAGCACGTGAGGCTCTTCCAGAGCCGCTCGAGAATACGCCATGTGGCGTGCAGACCCTTATAAAATGTTTGTGAGATCTTGAAGCAACAAACGCAGCTCACCCGAGCGACAAGCGAGGCCAGTCTCTTCGCTGCCATCGGGGTCTCTCGGGGCAACTGTGGCAATCAGGCCCCGCAGCAGTCTCTTTCCGAATGCTCACTTGCTTCGGCGTCTGCATGATGCCACTAGTACCTGCTACTTGCTTCAGCTTGCGAAGAGTCCATGTCACGTCCAGTGAAAACAACAAAACATCTGTCTGAGGCAGGCGCACTCAGTCGATGGCTCAGATTGATATCCGGCTTCTTCTTGTCATGTTTCCGGCAACCAGTAGGGAAGTTGTGGACGAACCTTCAGTGCAGGTGCATACAAACATGCCGAGCTGATTCGCCAACGTACCAAAACGCTGCGCACACCAGCAGCACACTCAGACTTTATGTGTGGATTCTCCGACTAGTCAAGTCTTTCCGGTTTTCAGTAGCTTTTCGGGGTTCCGGGTGTACGCCGGGGACGTATGCAGAGTGCGGCATGCGGAATGGAATCTGTTTGTGATACTTTGCTGCGTCCAATCGAAGTTTCCGATATCCTGCATACTATCCATCACACGAGATTCCACCACGATGGAGCTGCTCGGGAGTGCCGCGTGTCATGGTTTATGCATAACTACATGCGCCCATGAACGGTTGAAATTCGGCTTGCTTGGCAGCTTGCTTTGCAAGGCTGGCGCCGTCCTGTGTCGCAATCAGGGCGTGGCACTCCTGGCTCTGGATGCCGGGACCTCGAAACCTGATTGAACCGGAGGGACAGGGCATCATGCCAGAGCCGGATCGACATTGAGATTTCTCGACAGAGATCCTGCGTGAGATGGAGAGATCGCACCTGTTTCGTGTCATCCCCTCCCGTATCCGCGGACTAAAGCGGTTCCGAGAAGCCCATCTCATGCGACGATTGAGGATGCTAAAGCCTCATTGAAGAAGTTCCTGGAGTCGAAGGCTGGACAGTGGAGCACAGACAACAAGCATAATTTGCAAACCAGTGGCTCACGGTGCTTGAGCTCAGGCCATAGATGGCATCACACGAAAAGTGAAGCATGTGTTGCGGGGGATACGCCTTGTGCGTGGTGCCAGGAGATTCGCGAGAAGTCGGGGCCCACGACGTTATTTCGCTTTGAGTCTGCTACCAGTGGAACTTGTGCACTGTTTAGCGGTTGCTGGAAAAGGCACTTTTCGGTAGATGGCTACTCCATGTTGAAACTTCCCAGCTCCCCGCTAGACGATGTTGAAGGGGAGGGTTTGCAGCGGGCGAATTTCTTCGCCACAGACACCGCAAACCAGAGGGCTTGCCATCCCTCCAATCTTCAAGGCAAGCACCAAGCAATCCGAACGCTCGATGTTGCTTTCAACGGCCATGAGACGTTTGGCTTGCCAGATGAGACGCTCAGGACAGGTTGCCTCGTTGGTCCTGCCGGGGCCAACCTTTTGGGCAGCCTGGCATGGTCGCGGGTGCAGTGCGGTTGGGAAGCCCAGTAAATCCTGCTTGCGAAACCTGGGCACGCGTGAGAGCTGCGACGGGATGTGAAACTGTTTCCGGTGTTCCGAATACGGGTTTCTATTTGCAGGGGCATCTCTTCTACAGGACGCTCTTGTTGTTTGTCTTGTGAAGGTTGCTGCTTCTGTCTTAGGTGTTGGCTATCAGTAGCAGTGATGTTGTAGCGAGTGCCGTAGCCAAGCATAGTAGTATCAGAAGTCATAGGACGACGAAAATCAATCAGTTTCTAGCTGTACTAGAAGCTTGAGGTGACCTTGGGAAATCCATAGAAGACTGCCTCGAAGCCCACGATCTACATAAGAAGGTCGGGCATCTTACAAGTGAGCTGAGACCTGTTGTGAGCTGTGACATGCGAGATTTGTGGTGCATGCAGGCAGGCACTTTGCACACTCCTGGAGGGCGAGCTGCATGGTGCTCAGAGTGTTCATGAAAGACGTGTTGATAACCTCGGAGTCCGTGCGAGGTGGTCGAGATGATGAGGAGCAGGGGCCCCCGAATGCGACACGCAGAGCCCGACTAGGAAGAGCAGGAGACATCCTGAGCACTCCGTGCAATTCAAAGTTCAAAGACAGCGAGAGAGCGAGAGAGAAGCACGAATTACACTCACACACCCACACACACACACACACACCCGCGCGCGCGCGCTCGCGCCCGATTTCGAGGCCTCGAACGCCGGGCCTCTGCTGGTAGGCCAGCAGCCAGCATGCACGGATTAGTTCTTCGACTTCAACATGTGTCTCATTATTATAAGTAAGAATCCCTGATATAGTAATTCCATCCCGCTCCCCCGAAACACCTGAAAATGTATAATTCCGTCGCGGGAAAGTGTGAGCTCATCTGAACATGCCTCCCAGTCGGTTGGAGAGGCAAGACGGGCGATAGCTTTGAGCGGCTTGTGCGTGGAGGGTTAGGATTTGCAGGGAGCAGCCGGAGAAGGCAGGTCACAATGACTTACAACGAAGCTAGAATGCGGGTTCATCGGTGGCTCTTGCAGGTGACCTAAGCCTTAGATCTTTCTTCACGTTGGTCCAATGTGGCCGGTGCATGCATTTCGTGGACACTTCGGCCCCTCCTCTAGCTGACAACATCGCTATTTGTGTTCGAAGATATGGGCTTCGATATCCACGAAATGACGTAGACAGGAAGCCGGATGGTCTGCTCCGCTTCTTTCGATCCCGAACTGTGCGAGAGAAAGTTGCTGAGCAGTGGCGCGAGTCGCCTTCTCACACAGGTCTGCCGGTGGTCAGTAACACGCTGACTGCTGTTGGGCGAGTCCATGTGTAGCAGGCTTGTACAGAGGACTCCCAAACCATGCAGTGAGGTACATTCGCCGACGTGCACAAAGCCAAATGATGTGAGAAATTGTCCATCCTTGCTTCTGCACCAAGCCCGACGCCCCAACCATCTTTTTAGGCCGTCAGGCCCGTGTGTCATGTCCCGCAGTAGATGCAGCGATGTTCCTCGCAGGCACGGATGCACTATGGCCATCCAGACATCATGAACAAGGCTAAGCATTGTTTGTTTAGGAAGCAGGTTACATAGTGCAGGCCTGAGGTCCGTGTCCCGACGGGAGAGGAACCCAGAAGTGTCGCTGTGTGCCATGGCCAGGAGTACATGATGCAGCAAGGAGGAGTGTCCAAGGCGACGAAGACATTGAATCTGTCAGAGGACTGAGTGGCATTCGACCCACGCTCCCCATGTAGTACGCTGGCCCCTGCACCTTGAGGTTGTGTTGCTGATTGTAGGAGAAGTCAAGAAGCAGAGCCTCGCGCGGCAAACAACCGCGACCATGACCAAGCAGCAACACTTAAGGCAGAAATGCATTTCTTCGAGCCACTAGCATGGCAAGAGGAGAAAACGAAAGCTTCAAAGAAGCTTCTCACGGAATCCTGGGGCAGCTTTATGCTGTGTGTTCACATGTGTGAGTGAAATAAACTCGGTCGGCAGCACAAGCGAGGACATCTTCGCAGGGATGGATTTCGTCCTGCGCGGAGGAGGTACGCATAATGGACCACCGGTCTACCAGCATGAGGGGCATCAACCTCGCCGTGTGAGTGGAGAAGGCTTCAAGGTAAGAGCTCTAGAGATCTTTCCGCGGAGGTCGAACCATCAAGCATCGTGAATATTTTCATTTGGCGAAAGGCTCGCGGCACGGGTGTACACAGCCACACTGTTCGACCGGTCGTCTGTGCTAGGTCGAGATCTTGGTTTCAACACCGCACGGGGCTTGGTACATGCTGAATGCAGGCTGAAGATTTCTGAACCATGTTGAACTGTTGAACCAACAGTGCTTGCGACAAGATTGCTTCACGTGTGGCACACTGGCACCCCTGAGTTCTTGAGTCGCCTGGTCCTTCTAGGCGGTACCGTTTGCGGCTTTCATGTTCTCTGCAAGCGGTCTCGCCCGACTTTTCAAGGTGCTTGCCTTCTTCTCCAAGCTGTCATCGGGAGCTGGTGAGCAGCTGCAAAGCTCTTACTGGGAAGATCGATAGTGCGCACAAGCCAAATCGCACGGGTTCCGTGGTGCAGCCCTTCCCGGAACAGGTTCCACATCTTTGCAAAAAGCCCAGGATCACAAGACAGACTCTCCGCCTGGGGAGTCTCTTGCCGCTGCCGGAATTCTTGTCGCAGCTCGGCTTATAATATTGTGGCATCTTACGCCTGTGACAAGCTTTTGCCAGCCAGTCACAGTTTCACGTCCAGTGCAAAGACGTGTTCGGCAGCGAGCGCTGCTTGTGCCAGGTTCTACTATGCACACATGGGCCACTACTTGTCTCAGTGGGCGGCCGGGGTCCTTGTTGTGGTCCCGCATGGGTAGCTGGAGAGAGGCGTCAGCAGTGCGCGTTTAGACCTGAAAGGTTTCTTGGGGTCTTCCGGTGCTTACCCTGGTTTGGCTGCTGATCCTCCTGAATGGCTGTGAGGCTCGTCCTTTCTCCCGCGAGCGTCAAATCGGCAAACTTGTCTGACTGGGCAGGATGCCAACGACCTCTCCATCAAGTCCTGGCCCCGGAGCAACTGTACTGGATGAGTCTCATGGAGCGGAGCGCCGAACAGGACGTGATGCCAAGACAACCCATGGTTTCCATACAGTTGTTCCAAGAAGTGAGGGAAGAAACTCAGATCCTCCCAAGCGGATCGTGCAGCAAGATTGTTTCTCTCCAGGTGCAGCGCTACTGGACAGTCTGCAGCGTCCACCGTCCCAGCAGAATGCAGCACAGAGATTTTGACAAGGGAATACTGGCCGGGTAGATATCTGAAAATTTGTGATGATCGGGTGTTTCCGGGGTGCTCAGGAAGGCAGATGTGTCGATCCTCAGCATCATGAGTCGTAAGATGTCGGCCAAGGTCAGTCATGGCTGAAGCGTGGCAGTGCCCCGGCGTTTCGGGAACGGGTGCAGCTTAAGTCGAGTGGCATTCTGCACAGGTGACTTTCACAGCTCAGTTACGATCGCCAATCAGAAATAGCCTGTAGCTTCTATTTGGGCCTCACACCTACACGCGGCAGGTGCTTTTTGAATGCTGCACGCTTGCTGCTGCCCTGTTTCGTGAAAAGCCAGTAGTCAGAGCTCTGCAAACAACAGGTACATCTACTCTGGCAATTTGCTCATCGTTTTCCTCCTTGCTCAAATGGCCCCGATCTTCTTTGAAGTGTGGATGCAGGCAAAGGGCAGCCTATGGTCTATGGCAGAGTTGCGGACAATTCGCTTTCTCGGAAGGCCGGCCTCGTGACCTCGATCATTCGCCTCGTGAAGCAGCTCCTGACGTGCCCTGCCTTGGAAGGGGGGGCGAAGCTTTAGGCCTTAGGCGCGGGAGCTCTGAGCTGGCCAGGCTCTCCCCGATCATGTTCATCTTCCAGGCGAAGGCCCGGTACGGCGGCAGGCCCTCTGTGCTGCGTGGGTCCCTGCTGGTGCTCACAAGGTGATCGGGTTCTACACAATGAATGAGCTCAAGTACGGGGGCGCAACTTACGCGCGGGGCTCAGAATGTCCTGCGAGCTGCATCCGTACAGACAGATTCATTTTGCACATTGGGCTCCGACAAGCTTGAAGCTTGTAGCCGATTGTAGCCGGATTCGGATCGGCAGTCGAAGCCTTCGCCATGGCTGCTATCGGGCCGGCCCCGCGCTGGAGGCACCGACAGAAGAGGTGAAAGTGCTACACCTTTAGCCTTTAGCTTTCAACAGAAAGCCAGCGACATGCTACGACCGGAAAGCTTGGATCGTTCTGAGGCGGCCACTGCTCAGAGCAGCTCTCTGTGCGGTGGCCCTGGGTGCTGGAAGCGCAGGGTTGCGTGGCACGGAATCGCAGCAGCCAGGTCACGAGGATAAGAGCAGAAAGGGCGGACTTTGCTTTTCAGGTTCATCTCGGTGTCGAGTGGGCGCGCAGCCCCATCTACGGATTTGCCCAAGTCGCATCAGGCCCGGGATTCCTTAGTCGTTCGAGCGGCAGCACCTCGCGTCACTGCGAGGTCAGGCCGGCTGGCGACCTGGACTCGCCAAGCTTGATCTCCGCCTCCGCCGCCTCTGCGGAGACTCGGAACGAAATTTTGCAAGGTATGGATTCACTCTTCTTGATGTTTGACTGACGTTCGTTCGAGGTGCAGTGACTGTGCAGCTCAAGTTCCCTCCTGTTGAAAGCATCAGCATGTCCTTGCCGTTGAGCAGCAGAGATAGGCATACCGGCATACCGTGCCGTGAAACCTGGAATATTGCAGCACATTCTCGCACATTCGAAGTGGGACATGTGTTCCGTGCCTGCTGTGCCTGGAACTGAGGCTTTGCCTTTCGCGATGTTGTCCGTGCTGGCTGCAAGGTCGCAGTCTCGCGATTCATCCGCAAGGAGAGCGACAACTGAGCTGGAAGTATAAGGCTTAATGTTGTGTAAGAATCTATCTGAGAAGGACAATATTGGGAGTCACTGCCTAAACATCTAGGAGCCTGCTTTGTGATGATGGATTCAGGTAAGTGGGCGTGTCGTGTCTAGCTTGTCAAACTACATGTAAGTATTCCAAGGTGGGAGTCCTGACTTCACGAGTTTAGCCTTTGGACTTTGGACTGTCTTCTGCAATTAGCTAAAAGTTAGACCACAGTATACAGGCAAGCTGTCATGCACGCTGTTTGCACATGCTTTCGACAAAGGCCCCCGAAAGTTATTGTCTCTGGGGCATGCCGATGTGTGCGATCCAAAGGTAAATTGCACTGACGAGCATCGCTGCCAGAAGATCATCCACGTTGTTCGACTTGTTCTCTTACTTGTGAACTTCGGGCATAGGAAGCCCGTTGACACAACAATGCGAGGGAGTCTAGCATCTCTGGATCTCCCTCGCCAGATCTAAGGGCAAAGAAGTACCAGGAGGGCGGAAGAGAAGAAAGGACGCCGGGAGATATCAAAGCATGGTTCATGCAGCATGCAGCCAATGTAATTAATTTGAACACCGGATACCCGGCAAGCATTCTTAGGATTGAATTTAGCTGCTCTCTCGGCATGTGACCCTGGCGTTTGTTCCAGCATCCGACAGGATCACTTCAGCAGCTTTTGGGCATGAAGGGGGCCAGCGAAACGGATGATGAGCCGTTGTGGAAGACGCTTTTCACTAATGAGTTCATGCCTGGTGCATGGCTGAGCAGCCAGCAGAGCTTGTTCCCGAAGTGGCGATTTCGGTGTGGAACTGGGGACAGCTGGGGAAAACCTACTGCAGGATCCGGCTTCAGCTCTGCAAGCCCGTCACCTGGCCGCCACTGATCTTCGGCGTCATTGCAGGCCACGAGCTGCAGACAGACGTAGTAACAGCTAGCAGTCTCTGCGACACCGCATCGCCTTCGAAGCCGTGAGCTGGATCCTTTGCAGGCGTATGTGCCAGCGGCAACTTTGACTGGTCAACAGCAGGTCCAGAGGAGTATGCGAAGAGTCTCGTCCGCAATTTCCCCCCTCTGCAAGACTGCTTCATGCAGAAAATGTTGGAAGCTGTTGGGTCAAAGCTGACGACAACCGGTGAAAGGCTGATGTCCTCATGGTGCATAGCTTGTGCCAGGACAGGCTGTGAGGCCAAAGCCAACCAGACTTGTTCCACAGAAACAGTTCCTTGATTTCACGTTTTCGGATTTCCCAGTGGGCCCTTGTCATACATCCCTCGCAGCTCCAACCCATGGAGGTCCTCGTGGGTTGCGATGCGGGAGCCAAACAAACACGGCTAGGCCCCGAGATGAGAAGCGTCGTGGTTCTTCGAGGCGAGGCCTCAGGATGCCCCTAAACTCTAAGCTCTGTTTCAGGAGGCTCGGCCAAACAAGAAATTCGTCAAAATGTCGATACCCGTCCTTTTGGGCGTACTAGCTTGACTGCAAAAGGGGCAGGCCGGGGCATGAGAGTCGCCTGTGGGGCTCTCAGACACTATGTTGAAGGAGCCCAGCTCTACACAGGCTCCGCAACCGTAATCTTGAGTCCAGTACAGTGCAGAAGTTCAACACAAATTGCGTACATGGCCATTGTGTGCTTATGGCAGCGGATGTATACACGGGTGTGCCAACTACGCTGTTCCAAGACAGGGGAAGGGTGGTCTCATCAACCCCTGCCTGTACGAAGCATGTGCCAGAGACTGCTGGCATCAGTTGACCTGTGAAACCAGGATTGCCCCTGGCATCGTACGCGGCGCAGCCGTCGTTCAAAACGAGGGTTTGCTTGTTTTGTATGTGTGTGTTTGTTTTGGTTGGTTGTTGTTTTGATTGTTTGTTTGCTTTGTTTTGTTTGTGGCCCGCCCCCCACACCCTATCTTATCTATCTTTGGTTCGCAGGACGCCAGAAGCCATCAGTAGCCGGAAGAAAACCGATGTTGCCGCAACTCAGGAAGTTCAGTCAGTACTTTGACTGTTGTCTAGACAGATGCCCGGTTTAGGTTCCTCTTGTGCGTGACGCTGTCTGGTCCAGTCCTGGTTGGCTACACGCACCTCTGTCCGCATTAATCACAAGCCACTACTGGCAGTTTGCATCCTCGCTATGTTCAACAACAACAAAAACAACAAGCGAAGCTGTAGCATCAGACAGATGTCGGGTGCAGGAGTTTACAAGGCAAGAACCGTTTCCCATTCGCACAGGGTTTATAAGTTCGACCCAAGGCAGACACTGAATGACTGGTACGACAAGGATCTGGATGCCATCAACGAGCCCTACCGCCCGATTCCTTCTGGCCGCATCACAGAAGCCCCGAACTCAAGTGTCTCCAGCTGTCTCCAGTTGCAATTGTGCAAACGTTCAGGAAGAAGTCTGGCAGCAGATCTACGTTTTGGGCGGCCTGGGTTTAGGAATGGCGGCGGTACTGGACCTGCGACTTCTGTAGCCGGAGTGGTGCTTTCGGATACGGGGATTTCCTTCAACTTGTGGCATGCATGGTCTAGGGTTCAGATCCTTGCGAACTCTGCGGGATGAGTTTGTGTGGTGCGGCGGAAATGACTGTGCTGCCATTGTCTGACTATAGTATGACATTGTCACATGACCTCTTTGAAGGCATGGTCTGGACTCTTCTGCAAAAGAACTGTAAGACAATGCCGCAGGACATCTGGCAAGGCCATTGGCCTCCGACTGTTTTTGCCGTGGCGGTTGTGGGTATCTTTGCTGGCACAGCTGAACATAAGATGCGACAGCGCTCACCCTGCGCACCCTATCCCAATGCGTCTCCGGCAGTTTCGTGCCATGAGTTTTTCAGGATGTTAGAACGACTAGAACGTCTTGAGGAATCAGCGCACCCGAGGTGTCTTCATGGCTTACATATATTCGGCCCCACCGCTGCTCAGCTCACATTTACTTCAGCACCAAGGCGACGGGCAACCTGACCCGGCTGCAAAGGTAAAAGCTTCCTTGGCCATTCTTGTAAGCACAACGGGTGTCCGCAATAAATGCTTCCTTCGTGGGCAGGAGCGAGTGCAGCCGTTCAGTTTCCACTGAGGCTAAAGCTGAAGCAAAACTGGATCTCCGGCTGCTATGCCTTGGGTTCCAGCTACATAGCTTTGCCGTGGCTGGCTGGGCAGTGCACATTCGGTCAGGCAAGTATCAATGCCTTGAAGTCCAGATCATCAATGTCGCAAAAAGTCAAGCCGTCCTACAGTTCAGATTCAATCGGAAAATTTGCTCCGTTAAGTGTCTCGGAACCTTCCCGGAAGGCGACACCGGAAATCATCGCACTGACTCTTTGGTACTCAGTCGCGGCTGTTGGCATTGCGATTGTCAACGACTTCAAGAGCGTGGAAGGTGCGGGGGGGTCACTCCGTTTCAGCAGATCGAACAAGGCCCGGACCCTGTCAGGAGATGCGAAACTGGGGCTTTCCTCCGCGCCGGTTGTCTTTGGTGTGGACACTGCAAAGCATCCCGGCACTGAGCTTGGCGCCCGTAAGCACCAACCCTCCATGATGAAACTGGTGGCGGGATTGCTCCTGAACCGGTGTAGTCTCTGTGCGCACATGCGGGGAAAGCCAAGGTACATGGCACCGATCATCAAAGACTCGGTCCAGCTCACCATCGTCGGGTATTTGCTTTACATTGGAGACTAGACGAGAATATACGAGAATGTATTCGAGTGCTGTTGAACCTGCCCTTGATCCAATCTGTCGTAGATTGCCACCGCCGTCGCCCGCCGTCCGCCACCAAGGTGAGACCAACTATGCGCTTGGACTGCTTGCATTGATCCTGCCGCAGGTTTACTTCGCGAAGACATTGTTTCTTGAGGATCCCATAAAGAACGATGTGCATCCTGCCTGAGAACTGACAAACGATTGCCAAGCATCATTCTGCTGTCCACCTTGCTTCCGGAGCTGAAGTGTGGTAGACTTGAAGGTCTGGCAAAGCTATAACCGTTTTCAGATCCTGTTGAGAGTGGGATTTGTGCGACTCACACACTGTCACAAGCGAGCGACTCACAGAACCCTCCCCAAGTTACTGTGATTCCGAGGAAGTACCAGGGATCATCTCTGCCTTTCTTCAGCATTGGAACAATTGTGGCGGCTTCCGCGATTGGCAACAACCCGTTGCACTGAAAGCTCGTTTCTAGGAGGTTGGCCCAGAGTTTGCGCATTCTCCGGCACTGCCAGAATTTGGCACTGTGCAACACAATGCGATACGATCAGAGTGGCAAGCTTTACGCGTCTGAGCATCAGACGCCCAAACTAGAGTTGTCCACGGCGTAGAAGGATGCCAGTGCTGCATCCGATTTTCACCACGAACCGAAAGTGGGAATGCTATAGTGACACAAGCCAGAGCGTTTCTTGCAGACATTCTGCTGTCGTCAGTTGGGTTCTGTGAAGGAGTGCAGTTCGACCCGGTTTCAAGTTGTGGAATAAGAAGTTTTGCGCCTTTCCTGAGTCCTCGCGCACCCTATATGCAGTTGGGAAGCGAAATGTCCTCACGAAGGTTGCCACAGGAAGAGGACTGCCAACAGAAAGGCGACCCTTCGTGGGCGTAGTCACCGACTCCGGCCGGGATCCCAACAGCAGATGAATGGACAGTCGCAGCAGCTCCGAATTGCCCGTCGAGGTCGACTTCAACCTGGGGGTCTCTATCTGGACTACGCTCGCATCACGTGACTGGGCTTGCCAACGCAAGGAAGCTCAAGCCTCTCCGTAGGACACCGTTATTTGCGGAAAGATTTCCAGATTTATGCATTCGTGCGGCATGTGCGGCTGGTGTTCTTCGCTGCTGCCAGACAGCGATGGGATAGTCAAGCTGAGGTACTACGACGGAGCAGCTCTGCTGCTTCTCATGGTTCTGGTTGTAGTTGCTGGCGGCATCTCAGCTGCAGTCAGCCTTCGCTGTATTCTTGCTTACAGCAGACTCGACAACGAGCTTTAATGCGGAAGGTATGGACAACACGGGTCCGCAACTCTACGGAATCATGGTGTCGCTTTGCCTGGCCGGCAGCCCAACTCAGCTTGCACGAGACAAACCTCGCACACTTCGGAAACGCAGGTCACGGTCTCTTGGCTTTTGGCGCCTTTCATCTTCAATCCGTACCAGTTTCGGCCCTCGTGCTGGGCGAACGACATGAAGGCCCACGCGAATGCCGTGACAGATTTCTTTTGTTCACTGTTCGCACACTCCGGCGGCCCCATACAATGAAAAGGCTTGGCTTCAGTTCTTCCTCGAAGACGGTGGCTCTCACTGGAAGAAGCGCAGAGCCCAGATGGCACATCAACTTTGCCAAGTCACAACGCCGATCAATGCCGACCATGCAGTCATCCGTGTTGACAGGGCACATGGTCCATGGTTGAGGCTTCCCAATCGCGTGCAGCGCATAATCTTCTCGGGTCCTGAACCGGGGTCTTGTCGGGAGCTTTGTCGTTGCTGTGACCTCTGTTGCTCAGGTGGTTCACGCAGACCCAGCTGAAACCTCGACGAGGGTTCCGGGCAACCATTCTCGACACTTGGAAGCATGCTGCCGTGGCTGCCTACGGAGCGGGGCAGACTTAGCAGCTGCCAAGAGGAGAGGATTTTGTCCTGGCGCATAGCCATTCTGATTTTCTCTGGCATCTATCGAAACTGCCTGTGCAGCACGGATTTCGTAACTGCGTAGAAGACCTTGTTAGTCTAAGAACGTCATAGAACGAAGCGGCTTGATGCCTCCCAGTGTTCTTTCTGCAGCTCTCAAAACAGTGGGTCAAATTAGATGTTCCTCTTACGCTCAGCATGACATGGCGTCAAGGATTTGGCGTTCTTCATCGAGCTCTGGTGGGCATGCGCCTCGCAAATCAGCACTTTCTAGACAGGGCTAGCGTTTGTCCATTGAACAGGGCTTCCTGGCTTGCTGCTAAGAGCTTGTAGCGGGCAAGCTCGCATACAAGCCCAGCATGCAGAAGATGAGAGCGGTCTTTGCTCTCATGCGGCACTGGCAGGCTCAACGTGTTTTGTGGCCTTACATTGTCAACCAAATGAACCGTCCTGCAATCACCAGCTGCAGTCAACAGCATTGCAAGGTCGTGGCATGCTTCTCCTCGTTGAATGCACGCACGGCGGTGGTTTGCCAGGCAGTGCTTCGTTTTTGAAATTCTAGCTTCTTGCCGGGTAGTGGGTGACGGCCGGCCGTTTCAGACTGCCAGCAGCCGCGACCAACGCAGCTAGGTTTGCCAGTCACGTCCGGAAGAGGTCTCCGCGATGTGGCGGATGTATTACTGGTTCCTGCTGCTTCCCCCGGCATGAAGCCCAGTTTTCGCAGTCCGAGGGCGTGGGGATTTATAGCACGACGTGGGGTTTAGTGTCTCTACTATATCGAAATCATCCCAGACTGGTCGTTGTAGGCCTCCTTTTGGCGAAGTGCAGCCAGTTCACCTGCAAGCAGGGACGATCTGCACGGTTGGGCTTCTTGCGATGTTTTGTCGTGCAGACTGTTGGCGCAGGCTTGTGCATATGGCTCTTGTCGGTTGCTACGCCGGGTTAGGTTGCGGAGGTGGTTCAGAAATTTGAGTAGGGGCGAGTGACCACTCACGGTCCTGGCAGTTAGCCTTTCCGCATCTATTATTGTAGCTACTGCATCTAGGACTAGAGCCGATACATAATTTGCTTAGCCATGAAGCTATTTCGTGTGAGTCACTCACACCTGTGTCCAGTTCTTGTGAAGACTGGAGGGAACTGAAGTAGACTTCGCTTGATGACGCAGCCATCACAGCTTGCAACCGTGGGGACAGCTTCCGTTTCACGACATCGACGCGACCACACCTGATTGCCGCCATTCGCAACCCAGCTGAATATCTGAACCTCTTGCTTCTGACTGCATGTGCTGGGATCGAACTTCCCTTGAACTCGCCAATGCAGGCCTCGATGTCGTACTTGGCTCCACGGTTGAACTTAGATTTGGGCATTCCGCACGACATTTCGTGTGGCCTTGTTTGTCTTGTCACACAGCCCTCCTGCAGCGAAGAGTAGCTGCTGCATGCTTGTCACGATGTTCCTCGAAGGATCCGCGCGACGTCATGCAAGTCGAGCAAAGCCGGCTTTCGCAGGCTATCGCTGCGATCCAGGCCTGTGGCGGGTGCACCCCGGATGTTGACCGGTCAGCTCTGTCACTGTCTCGTGCCCGTGATCCAGGAATCGACTGACAGAATGCGTCGACTCCAAACGGAGCAATGTGTTGACACTGTGGATTCTAGGATGCAATATAGCTGTGTTTTTCACTTTGGTGAATCCGGCAACCCTTCAGTGGCTCAGCCTTTGGGCCGGGGTTGTGTCGTTTAGAGGTTTCAAGTGCAAGTTGTACCGGAAGAATCTAAGAAGTGGTCCCGACCAAGGATTGGAACGACGCGCACAACATCGCGCAGATTGTTCAGGGTACAGCAGCAGGGTTGCAAGACCAGGCTGTGCTAGTCGGGCTGCCCTACTTAAAAGCTGAGACCAGGCCTCGGTTCCAGCCTGCAGAGCCGCGAATGCAAAGAAAACAGCGGCCTCTAGTAGAGTGCCGGCTTTATCACTTGAAGGGGCTCGCGCAGAAGTCATGTATAGTTTGGGGGGTGTCGAGCGTATTCGAGCGTCCCTTTTGTAGACTAAGCTCCGAGGCGCTTTGTCCATGCGAGTCACAGCTTGATCTGATGTTACTCCGAGACTACCACAGTCTACCGCACCCGCGAGCATGCTGCTGCCGAGGCTTTCATCGTTCTGGCCATGTGGCTGATCTTCGCCAACAATGCCAAGGCACGACTCAAAACTCAGTGACTCAGAAGGTAGAGACAGGATGTTTGGAAGCAGTTCGAAGCCTCTGCTCTCATCAGACTTGCTTGACCCAGCCACTGAAGGTTGCAGTTGCCTCGAAAGCGCCGCTGGAGCAGCGGCACGCGGTTTGTGCAACCTTGAGCACGGCGGTGTGCCTCTTCTCCGGCTTCTTCAACATCCTACAGCTTCTAAGCGGAACATGTAAGCTTATCTAAGCGACCTCAGGAAATTGGGAATTGCCAAGTGAAGTTTCACACCGGAGGCTGACTGGCATCGACGACTTCCAAATTCCCGGCTACACAGGAGGCTTTGTTCTTCAGCTGGCTCGGCCTGTTGAGTGGGTCCTCACGCAACCCGTCAGCAATTCACGCAGAAAGGCTTCAGCCACCGATGGATGTTGCTGTGTAGATCACCTGTGGTGTGCAGACATTCATTGAAGAGTTCTGAGATGCCGGTGTTGACATGGCCATTCGCAGATTCCACGCACATGCATTTCTGAGTAATACTGAGAGGTGCCCGATCCTGCAGCTGAAGTTAGTGCCGCGGCTGCAATCTGGGCTGCAAGGTCCTCTCTAGCCATCGATGGCCCAGGTCATTCTCGCAGGTGCACGAGTGCCATCATACCGACGCTCCGCTGAAAGTCTGACAGGGAAGCGAGACATGGACTGTTGCGGAGGGTCTCCCACATCTCCAAGCTTACTTTGTCTTGCATCCTGCACAGCTTGCCAGAATCCCCGGAACGGTTTTACTATGTATCATATTTCTTCAACATGTTGAGAACGCTTTGATGAAGAGTCTGTCAAGAGGTTGAATACTCTGCAGGACTTGCATACTTGCCCTGCTTGAGCCCTTGAACCAAAAAGCTAGCCTTTCGTACCGCTTTGCCATGTGTGTAGCGCCTCTAACAGCTAGGGTCAATCGGTCACACACACTGACATGGCACGGCTGCTGACGCTCCACAGTGCTACGGGCATCAGGGGGCCAGGCACCTGAAGTCTTGTCTACAGCATTGGCCCCCACAAGCACTTGCGAAAATGCAGTTGATTTGTTGATGTGTTTTGTGTTGTCATGTGGTCGGGCTGTCGCGGCACCTGGATGTCCCAGCCAACCGTTTCTTCAACAGTGGTTGCGTCGTGGTATCAGACTCCACATGCTCATGCCAAGTGGTCGTTTACATTCGGCCTTACAGAAGCAACTGCCAAGCACGAAGATACACAAGTCCTCAAATCGGTGCTGCCTCTCAGGCTATTCGCAGACCTTGCCACAGTGTTGCAGTGGCAGGTCTCATGACCTCTAGTTCACGTGTTCCGCAGAACTCGTGGATACCAAATCACCTGACTAGCAGTGACCCAAGTCATCGGTCATAAATCTGTAACTACATCACTTTACTGGGCCGATGTTGGGGTCGTGAAAGCTCGCTCCTCTCTCAGGACGTTTCATGATGCCGTTGCTGTCAGCAGCTGTCCTTCTGTGTGGTGTTGCTGCCACCTTTACGGATGGAGGACCTTCAGTGTAAATCACAAAGCCAATGATTCGCTCTTCTTTCCAGCCCAGCTCCGCCTTGCTTCTTCACGGCTTCGGGCAGCATGCGCACACTTAGCTTCTGCTGGCAAGCGCAACAGCCACCAGGACTGCGTTACATCTGGTTCGGCTTTGGCATGATTCTCGTCGTTATCATGTTCTACTACAATGCCCAGCAAATCTCGGAGCCGCTTTGCTGCATCGTTCTTGCACCGAGAACGGTGCAGAATGCAGTAATGTAGCAATGCCAGCTGCAGCCGGGAATGCTTTGGTTGCGAACATGCAAGACAGCTGACCACAGGAACAGTGATGGAGAAGAGAGCCTTCTGCATGGGCAGTCAGACTATCGCAGCTTGTTTGCAACCGGGGACAGCTTTCTCATAACTATTGGTGTATTAAGCGAGTGGTGTGACGCTGTAAACCGGTTTCGAGGCAGACTGACCTTGGTCCTGATTGCCACGTGGTTTCCATTTCCGATCTGGTTCGCTCTCAGCCCGGAAGGCTGGAAAGAGTTGGATGCAATTGCATCAAGTGCAGCAATCTGCCGAGTCTGGTGCATGCGTTGAAGATGAACCGAACGACAATGGTCGTATACTGGGTGGCTAAACCACGTGCATCGCTGTTCAAGGAAACGACGATTTGGATTTGGATTCAACATGATTCGACTACACTTGATTAGTTTTGAACAAGTAGTTTCTGGACGATTGGGATTTTGTCACCGCTCACCTAGTATGTCAGACTCTTTGCTGGGCACACTCCAGCACACCGGTCTTCCAAGATCTGACATGCTTCCCTTGTCCCATCGTGCGCAGCCTTTGCAAGGCTTCAACCTATTCGACGAGGAGTTGATCATCGAGATGGGATGGGTTGTGCTGAACATGTGTCTAGGCACACATGATGACATGGGCCAGCAGTTCCAGCAGGCTTTGCCGTGGCGACACACTGATGTGCTAGATGAATTTTGGCAAAGTCAACCAGCTGCGACTATCCGACTTCGTGTCACCAGTGTTGGGTCTGCCATGTCTGCCGCAACCTAAAACGATGGACGCCAAGGATGGCAAAGTTCTCGATGATCATCATCGGTCAGCGTATGAGACTTGTTCAAAGAACCCCTTTCCGGCAGCATAGTAGGCATATTATTCATAATACCTCTCCCCCAATACTGAACACCGCGTTTGGTTTGGACCTGGCGTGTTGTTCAAAGTGCAGCGATGCGACTTGGTCAGCTGGGACGGTGGGAAAAATGCTAT